GGTGGTGGTGGTGGTGGTGGTGGTGGTGGTGGTGATGGTGATGGCGATGGTAGTGGTGGTGGCGGTGGCGACGGCGGTGGTAGTCAATGTAGTGACGCGGCGTCGATCCAGGCGAATCGCCACCTGCTGCATGTCTCACATGTGCCGCGCCAACGCTCGCCCTGTTGGATCCGCGTTGCTCCATCGGAGCACGACGCAACGTTAAAACTTACGTAGTAAGATGTAAGCATTGAGGAAATCTACCTGTTGGATTTGCTATTTCTTACGTTTTACTGCTTAAGCCTCTATGTATTATGGCTCTTAAGAATGAAGGTCACGGAGGATCGTGAACTGAGAGGGGGATTAAGATTGAAACACAAGACTTAAAAAGCACGCGGGGACTGGGAATAACAGATTTCAACCAAGCTGATGGTTTGCTTTGAAAGCTTGGACATTCAGACTTTAAAGCTCCAGCATTAAAATCTTAAAAGATCGGAGCTTCGAACAGACAATCAAAATTATTTTATTATTAATTCAATATAATGATAATAATATATCTCAATATTTATATCAAATTAAATATGATAAAATCTCAAATAAAATGTTTTAATGTTGTAATTATTTTGTTAAATTAAAAAATATGTATGATTATTTTCGTCGATTTTACGATTCTATTTGATTTTTATTACGTTTTTTAAATTATTGTTGTACGCTAAGGAAGACTTACTCAGTAAAGTCAAAACATTTATACTAATTTGTATTATTTTTTGTTTGTTTATTTAAAAGTGAATTTATTTTTACCTTTTTAATCTTCTTAATTGCATTGTTTTGTTAAGCATTATCCTTTCTTATTTGCATACATATCCAATCTAGTTATTAATAGTAATATTTTAGATTGCAATGCTACCATAAATATTATTATATATTTTTAAAAACATCATATTTTTATACATATTAATTAATACTTTTTATTTATATTTCTAGCATTTCTTGAGTATATTTGTCATTTGCGTGAATTTACGTATTTTTCGAAGCTTCGAAGTAATAACTTCAAACTTTGAAAAAATTCGGAGTTTCGAAATCATTCAAAAGTAACAGCTCTAATTTCAGCACTGCATACACATAATTTTTAATAGGATAAAATCTGTCATTTTCTGTTCTGATTGCCTGTGTATTCAATTCTGTTTCAGGCTTTAGATTTTAATCGAATATTCATAACTTGTTTTACTCTAATTCATTAAATT